GACCCGTTAGAGGCTGCTCAGGAGCAGCAGAGCCAGCCCCTCACTCTGAGGACTATGAGAGATTCAGAACCTTTGTTGTGTCCTCAGACCGATACTTTGTCATCCTCTGCCTCAGAACCCCCAGCCCCCAACAGTGAGAAGCTCAAGATGAGGTGAGAAGGTCCAGCTGGCTTGAGTTTGGGGACGGCAGGGAGCAGGGAGCTGGGGACATGTGGGCCTGAGAGAGAGGAGTCTACGGTGGCCACAGGTGGTCTCTGCAGCTTGTGATATGGAGAGTGGGCAAGGGACTGACCAGCAGGAAGCCAGGGTGGGATGACGCCCTTTGACATGGGAGTGGGGCAGAAGCCACTGAACAGGGACACACCCCTCTGCTCCAGGAGAGAAGGGCTGGGGGGAGGGCTACCCGGCTCTGCTGAGGCGCCAGGAACCCTGAGCAGGGGTCTGCCAAGCAGGACAGCTGGACCCAGAGCCCTCCACTGGGGCCTGGATCCAGCCTGTGACACATCTCAGTCCAGGAGGGGGTGGGGCAGGCCTGGGAGGCCAGAGCCGCAGCTGCACCAGCTGGGGAGGCCCACCCAGCTCTGAGACCTAGCCAGACCCGCATTTCCGACTGTGGCCACCACAGGAGAATGTGGTCTGCGGTGGTGACATCTGCCCAGAGTCTGTGGCAGATGCAGGGCTGGTCAGGGGATTGGGGGGAGCAGCTGGGATACTATGTTTAGAGACAGCCTTTAGGGACAGCCCCTTCTTTTCCCCAAGACCGGGGGCTGTCCCTAGAGGAACCATGGCTTCTGGGTCCTGGGCAGTGATAAATGTCACACCCACACGGAGTGCTAGAGAGGGAACAGCTTCAGCCTAAACACCTGTAGGGACTCTACCCCAGCCACCAAGGTGTGAGGAGCCCAAGGTCAGAGGCAGGAGTGGCCCAAGCACCCCAATGAGAGAGAAACTGGACTGAATCGAGGGCCTCCCAAGGACATCCCCTGTACCCAAATCCTATGGCTGTTCAGTGCCTTGCCCACCTCCAAGGTCAGGGATGCGTGGTGGAGTGGAAAGATCCAGCCTGGAGATCCTGGAAAGCTGGTCTGACGAGTTGAGTCAAACCATTGTCATGATCACCATCCCCACCTTCATCCCTTTCTTTCTCCTTCTTCTCATTATCATCACCACTATTGAGAACTGTGAAGGTTCTGAGACTTTACCCTTTTTGCAAACCAAAAGGTAAGCCTGCCACAGGTTCATGGATGCTGGCAGAAGACACAGATTCCTGGGTCAGAGGCAAAGGACAGCAATAGCAGTTGCCAAAGTATGAGCATCTTCTTGCACCAGTTTCATAAGATGATGCAAAGAAGGCCAGATGTCATCCGCACACCCGAGCTTGGCGACCCTGAATTTTCTATACTGGACAGTAAGCGTGCCTACCCTTTGCTCCAAAGGGGGACACTATCTGTACCTTCCAAGACTGTTTGCTATAGAAACATCCGTGAAAAGATAGTCTGGAACAAAGGCCATCAGTGCCTTTGCTCAAAAGACATGCAGAAACTCAGAGATCCTTAGACAAATGTCTCCCAACAACCATAATCTATATCAATGAAACGAAGTACCAGGTTAATGTGTGTTACTGCATCTCATGAAAATGGTTGGACTGATTTTCACCATATTTAGCAGGAGACTTAAAGAGTATCTGACTCAAAATGTGGACCAAACAACTCTTACAGGGGCATCCCAGGAAAGTCGCTTTTTTACGTCCTGGGAAGCCCCTTTCAGAGCTGCTGAAACAAAAACTTGAAAGCCCTAGAGGAATGCAGGTCCGAACGTGAGCAGACATATTACAGATTTTGTGGCAGAAAAAAAGCAACTGGAAAGCAAGAGGTGACCCTCTCTGCAGTCCTATGAGGAGGCAAGGCCTTTCTCACCAGGACATGGAGGGGGTCCTCTCAGACATTTGCTTACTACGCTGTCAGGGGCATCAGAAAGGATGGGAATGGGGGAGATAAAGGAGCACAAATGACACCGGGGGATGGGCAGAAGAGCACGCTATTCAACCAGATTCAGTTCGTGTTTAATTGAGCAGCTACTGTGTGCTGGTCTCTGGACTTTGAGTTTTCCTATGCACTGAGCAGTGTGATACCACCTAGACCCAGAGAGCAGTGTCGTCATCAACAAAGTCACCCCAGTGCTGTGCGAGGGCTGGGCCTCAGAGTCTGACTCCAGCCCTGCTGCCTCTTGGCCACTGGCACCAGGAAGGTAGGGAATCTGTCCAAGCATCTGATTCCTCTTCTTCAAATGGAAGCAGGGAGTGGCACGATAATCTTAGTTCCCAGGGTTAGGGCTTGTAAAGCACTCAGCTAGTGCTGAACAGCATCACTATTATCACTGTATTATGTATTAGATTCCTGGGCTTCAAATGGACCCCAACGCAAAGCGCCTGCCCAGCCCTCTCCTCCTCCACCACTGCCTAATGGAACTCAAACCTCAGCTCCCTAGGAAGCCAGGCACTCTCCTTCTACACAGACAGGGTGCTAGAAACTCTGGACAAACTCACTCCAAAATCTAGCTCACCCTGCACCCCACTCCCGGGATGACCTTGGACCTGCATTCATCTTCTCTGGGCCTTAGATTTTTCACCTGTAAAATAGAGACACTTGCCCCAAGGACACCCCAAGAGTTGTTCTGAAGCCCAAAGTAAAAGAAGGGCAGAAAGGGAACCAGCAATCCTTCAACAGCGCTGGGATCTTAGCATATAAGAGCGCTGGGTGGTTTCATAAGGAAACTGAGGCTCAGAGGAGACCTAGGTACAGATGAATCAACATTCATGATCTCACCACTACTCCTTGCCTTAGGGCTATAGAATCACTCCCCACAGGGCCCTTGCCTGACTCAGGAGCCGGCCAGGCTTGGCCAATTCAGCCAAGGAAAAGCTGGTCCCAGCTGGCTAGAGTGCGGTGTGCAGGGGCTCATCCTAGGGGACCGACCAGAAGAAAAGCCACAGCCACCGCCCCCTGAACTCAAGCCCTCAGGGACTTCTGTTCCTCTGAGCAGTCGCCAGCACTGCCCCTCCAGTACCCAGGGAGATGCTAAACAGACCCAGGGCACCCTTGGGGAACTGGGGAAAAAGGATGGGTCAGGTGTGCCCCATCCAGCGGAGGGGCCAGGCGGGCTGCCATGGGAGGCAGTTAAGTCCCAGATCCCAACCACAGCAGGACAGTTGGCAGACGTCCCTCTGGGAGGGATCCCCAAGGGTAATGGCCATGGACCCAGGAGAGGGCCATGCTAGGGGCAGGACCAGAGCCAGTCCAGGGCAAGAATGGGGCCACACAGACCAGTGCGCACTGAGGCAGCCACTGCCGGCAAAAGGGACCAGGAGTGCCCCTGTCCAGGGAACCCACACCGCAAGTTGGGCCAGATGTGCCTTCGACTCTGAGAGCAAATGAGGCCCAGGACAGGCCAGGTGGATCATGAGGCCCCCAGGGGCCAGGCCCTGACCTCAGGCAGCGCTGGCCCCTGCTGCCGCTGGGCCTGGCTGTGGGCATCCGTGGCCTGGTGTCCCCGATGGCAGCAGCGTGGAGTAGGGCCCCAGGCCTGGGAACCAGGGCAGGAAGCAGCTGGTCCAGCCTGCAGAGACTGTGGGGCAGGTAAGGGACCAAGTGAGTCATCGGGGGATGTAGAGGTCTTTGCACCCTGGGCTAGGAAGGGGCAACCAAGCAGGAGAGTAGCAGTGACGGTGACGGGGTGAGAAGGAAGGATCAGCCGGGAAGGACGGGTCTGGGCAGACACTGGCTTAATTTAGTGTTGATATTTTGTCCGTCATAGATTTGTTTGCATTAATTTTTATTTTTTAATATTGTATTAAGATATTACTCATCTTGATTCCTGAATTTTCTGGATCCCCTTAAATTTTGCACCAAGGCTAGTGCCCCACTCGCCTCCCCGTAGCCCTCTGGGTAGAGCAGAAAAGGAGGCAGGAGAGGGATGTCCACGGTGGGTGGCAGGTGGTGGCCTCTGTCACTGCAGGATGCCTGGGCCTGGGCCACTGCCTCCTCCTCCTCCTCCCTTTACCTTCGCTGGGCAAAGACCACACCTCAGAGCACCAGGCCAAGGGCTGGTTGATGTTGTAGGAAGATGCCTTCCCTGGGTCCCCAGGTCACCAGACTCAGCCAAGGACCCTCATCCAGGGTCACATCCTGGGACTGCCCCCATTAGGAGCGCAAGGACACCCACGGTGCAGGCTCCTCTGTGGGAAAGGCCTTGGGGGTAGACCCATGGGGGACCATGGTGCACCCCACCTCACTGTGTGACCCCAGCCCTCTCCTCTCTGTGTGAGGTAAGAAGTTCCCAGACAAAGCACAGGGTCCATTTATGACAATCTGTGACACAACAGCCCGTTTATCTTGAGCTTCTTTCCTGGCAGGTGCTACATCTTAGGTACAGAGCTTCCCTCTCAGCTGCCCCACAACGCATGTCTCCTTGTCATGTCCCTTTTACAGGCAGGGATAAAGGCCCAGAGAGGTGCAGCAACCTGCCCAAGGACACACAGCACATGGGCGCAGCCCCTGGACTATAAGAGAACGCTGTGACCACATCATCCTGCCCTGTATTTTAAACATAGTGGTCTAAGAGAAGAGGTGGTTTGCAAGGAGTCCAGAGGAGGGAGCAAGGGCTTGGCTTGGTGTCCCTGAGGCCTTATTCATAAACATTTACTGAGTGCCATGCCCGGCTGGCAGAGAGGGTGGGCCTGAACCAAGGGGTTCTGTCCAAACGTGGGGACAGACCCATGATCATTTTAGGAGCAATAAAAGGAGTAGGAGGAGATGCTCCCTCTGTGGGCGGGATGCCTAAGCTTGTCTCACAGATCGAGGTGCACCAGCTGGTGATGGGGACCCTAAGCAAAGAACTGCATGTTGAGAGCAGAGAAGGAGGGATGCAGAGGTGCCCTGGGGGCTCTCAGGGCAGGGGGTGGGAGGGGCCGACCACCAGGGGTCCGTGTGCACAGCATTTATCCTGCTGTCCAAGAGGAGTCACTGGGGGGATTTAAGTAAGGGACCAGCAGAGTAGGATCTGTGTGTTAGAAAAATTGACTCCAGATAGGAGGCTGGTGTGAAGTCAAATTAGAGGACTGAGGCAGAGGCCAAAGACGGAGAGGGGGCTGCGGCCACGTTGCGGGTGAGTGGGGGGTATTTGAGCCTGGGCCAAAGCCTGGGGATGGGGAGGATGCACAGGGCCACACACCACCTGGTGCCAAGATTCCTGTGAAATTGGCGAGTGCATTTAAAGATGATACCAGAGGGCTAACCAGGGAGGAATGGGCACTCTCATGGACTGTCTATAGGCGTTTAAAATGTACAACCATTTTAATGATAGGCAGCAAGTCATAAAAGAAAGTGTATTTATCTAATTTTTGTAATTCCACTTCCAGGAAGTTATCCTAAGCAGGGAAGACAATCACAGATGCCGCAAAGGTTTACAAACAAGGATAGTTAGCTCAACATTATGAATGATGGGAGAAAACTGGAAATAAACTACATATCCACCAGAAAGGTGGGACAAAATGCAGTAGGGCACGTTATCATAAGGAATCGTACACAAACCTTCAGAACTATGCTTCTGAGCATCTCTAATAATTTTTAAAAGGATAAGATGTTAATATGCTGAGTGCTGCCAATTGCATTTTTAAAATACGTGTGTATTTACAAAAGCCTGTGGGAAAACATAGAAAAATTTCAATGGTGTGTCTCTGACTGGCTGGTGGGATTTTACTTTATTTTAATTTCAGCTTTATAATTTTCTGGTTTTATAAAAATGTTTACAAGAAGAGATATTTCATTTTTGTCTTCTAAAATAATTTTTTAGTTCCTTTTTTTTATTGGTTATGAATATTCATGGGATACAAGGCTGACCATCACCACTTGTGCCCAAGATGTGATAGCCAGATGTTGCAAATGGCAGAATTTCATTCTTTTTTATGGCAGAGTACTATTCCATGGTGTATATATATACCACAGTTTCCTTATCCAATCGTCCGTTGATGCACATTTAGGTTGGTTCCATGTCTTGGCTACTGTGAACAGAGCTGTGATGAGCATGGGAGTGCAGGTAGCCCTTCAACACGATGATTTTGATGATTTCCTTTCTTTTGAGTATATACCCGGAAGTGGAATTGCTGCTTAACACATACTTTTTGTAAAAAAAAAAAAAAAAAAAAAAAGCACACAAAAATAGAGTGTAAAATGCAAGTGTTTGCTCTTACCATCTCCCACCTCTTCCCCCAAAACCTGTTCCCCAGAGACAGCTACTGTCTGCTTGGTCTCTATACTTCCAGACCTTTTTCTATGTGTGTGCAATCCTGAAGACACACACACAGTTGGTGTTGAAATTTTATTTTTCAATAATAGTGTCATACTCTGCCTATTACCTGCAACCAAGTTGTTCAACCATCTGTTACTGACATTTTCCACATCAGCCCACATGGATCTACCACATTGTCAAAATGACTTTATGAGCAAAGTTTGGGTGAACCAGAATTCATTTAATTATTCCCTATTTGTGGACATTTAGATTGTTTCCACTAAAAAAAATACAAATTACAAGTGATGCTGCAATGGAAATGCTTGTGTGTGTGTGTGTGTGTGTGTGTGTGTGTGTGTGTACACGAAGTACACTTGTGTATCTCCACGGAGCAGATGGCTAAAAGTGGAATTGCTGGATCAGAGAGAACACACTTCTGAAATTTTATAGGTAGTGCCCAATTACACTTCCAAAAGGCTGTCCCAATTTACACTCACTACAGTAAATGACAGTGCCCTTTCTCCCACATCCTCATCAATAATATATTGTCGATCTTTTTTTATTTTGTCTATCTGACAAGCAAAAAATAGAATCTGTTTGTTATTTTGTTGTTTATTTGATTATTAGTGAAATTTATTATCCTTTCATATTTTTATGGACTGATCTTATTTCTTCTGTAAATTAACTGGTCATCATGTTACCTGTTTTCCTATTCAGTTGTTTGTATCTTCTTATATATCTATAGAAACTTTTAATATACTTGGGATATTAACCCCTTGTTAGTATATACGTTGCAAATATTTTTCCCTGGTGTGTTTTATGCCTTTTGCTTATGGGATCTTTCACTATAAAGCTATTGTTAATTTTTTTGTATCGGATTGGTTTAACCTTTTCTTTATGGTTTCTGTGATCCACACCAGGTGTAATAAGGTCTTCTTTATTTCAGTACTGTAAAATTGTTTTTCTATTTTCTTCTGGTACTTTCATTATTTCGGTGTTTGGTGGGTCTTTCTCTAACTTCATCTGGAGTTTTTGTTGTGTATGTAGGCATAAAACCTTATTTATTTCCAAATGGGAAGCCGATCATCACACATTTGTTGAACACAAATGCAACTTTTATCGAATACTAAATTACTTATATATCATGGTCTGTGATCCTCTCGATCTATTGATCTATTCCTGCATCATTCCACCCTGTTTTAATTATTTTAGTTTTATAGTGTGTTTTGGTATCTGGTAGGAAAAGAACCTGCCATTAGTACTGTTTTTCAGAACATCCATGCTTATTCTCCATCATTCTTACTGTTGGACTTTAGAATCAGTTTTCTAATTTTCAAAAATCATTTTCTTGGTGTTGTGTTCGTAATTTTGTGGAATATATGATCAATTTAAGAAGAACCAATATCTTTTGTCCAGGAACGCGATATACTCACCATTCACTTCCCTTTTTATTATGTCTGTTAGTTGAGTAGTTTTATATTTTGTTCATGCAAATCTTTCACATTTTATGTTGTTTATTGCTAGGATTTTTTTGGAACATAATTTGTGTTGAGGTTGTAGATTTTTCCCCAAGTTTATATCCTAGATGGTTCCTGCTTGTGTAGCAGGGAAACCTATTGGCTTTTATATTCAGCCATTTTAACTCTTGTATAAGTTTCAATAGTTCTTGATTGAGTTGAGGAAGTTTCCTTCAATAACTTAATAAAAGTCTGGATGTTTGCATTTTTTAAATCAGAAATAAGTGTTCAACTTATATTACTATTATATTAAATTCTGCTTCAAAAATCTTATGTGCACATCCTAAATGCAATCATAGCCAATGTGCTGCTGCTAAGGTATAAAATTGCTGGCTGCAATGCAATGGGTTATGTCAATGTAAATAAATTATCTTGGGAGACAAAACTAGATTTTGCAAAGCCTGAGGATTCTTGCCATCAAAAACTCTTAGAGCGTGACTTGGGTGTTCTCCTTTTCTCTTTTCAGTATGTTAATGGTATTTTGTGTTGTGGTAGGATGTCTAGGACACAGAGGGTGATTCAATGAGGGGAAAGCTTTCTGAGATGACTCCAGGCCTCTGGCTTGGAAAGAAATTGCTGAAATGAGGAAATTTGGGGGAACAAGTTTGCAGGAAAATGAGTTTAGTTGGGCCCCATTGAGTTTGAGATGCCTGTAGGGCATTCAAGCAGAGACAGATTCAAGTGATAGAATGTATGTGAATCTGGAGCCCAGAAGAGAGGTCAAGGCTGGAAACAGGGATCTGAGACCCCTGGGCAGCTACGGGAGTGCACAGTGAGGGTCCGATGCAGAGAGAGTGAGAGTCGTAGAGGGACAGCAGGACCCAGGGTGGTGGTCTGGGGTCAGCAGCTATGCACTGGCCTGGCGAAAAGGTAAGCAGAGGAGGAGGAAAGTGGGAGAAGACACCAAGGACAGGAGAATGAGCAGGAAGAGGGGCCTCTTACAGAGACATAAGGGAGGAACTGCAGATTTGACCAGGATGAAGACCTTGTTGACCTTAACCTGAGAGGTTTCAGGGCCGAGGGGCCCTGGCATGTCCCAACATACAAAACAGTGCCTGGTACAGATGGGTGCCTGGAAGCACTATTAGATGGATGGACGGATGGATGGATGAACAGAGAGAGGAAGAGGTGAAAAGATGGATGGACAGATGGATAGATGGATGGTCGGATGGAAAGAGTGGTCTGAGAGATCAGAGAAGGCACCAGGTAGGACTGAGCTGCGTTTTTGATGGGTAGAAATGAAAGCAGAGGAGTCTCCACATGGGAACACCTTGAATCTGGAATGACCCAGTGTCTGTAGGTCCAGGGAGGAAATTAGACTGGCTTGAAGGGAAGGAAGACTCAGAGACCCTTCAAATGAGGCACGAAAGGTTGGGCAGGTCCGAGACAGCTCGGGACTCACCCTCCCACACCACACAGCCTCCTGAAAGCATGCGTCACTCAGGGATTTGCTGATCAGCTACTGAGTACAGCATTTCCATTAGCAATGGCAGCCTCAGAGCAGGGAGACACACACAGGAGTACCCCCAGCCTCTGAAGGGCTGGCTGCCCACCTACCCTGCGCCTTGGTTGCAGCCCCACCCACTGCAGCCCTGTGCCCATCACACCCAGTAGGATCCTGCTGCAGCCCAGCCCCTGGAGGGCAGGCCCCAGGTGCTGGCCCTGTGGGTTTTGGTCTGAGCCTCAGTCACCGTGGAATGTTTTTGGCGGCGGGACCCAGTTAACCGTCCTAGGTAAGTGGCTCTCACATTTCCCAACATATCCCACCCCGATGCTGTCTCCAGAAAGTCTGTTTTCTCTCTCTGGGGGCTTCTTCCCACTGCCCTCCCCTGCCTTAATGACTGACCCCTTACCTTTCTCCGTGGAGCCTGGGGGAGGCAGGTGGGTCTCAGGGTAAACAGAGGAGGTCTCCAACAGCAGGAGCAGCCACTTCAGATTCCAACAGTTGGATATGGCCTGGTCCAGGGGCCTGCTCTGGGGGCTTGGCCAGAAACAGGGGCTTTTATAGGGGGCAGAGGCTGGTTCTGACAGGGGACACTGGGGCAGCATTAGAGAAAATCTCCAAGCCCCAGGGTCTGGGCTGAGGGCCGTATGCCCATCCAGGCTGGGAAGACCACGCAGGAGGCTCAGGGACATGGTTAGGGCTGTGACCTCAGTCTCCGGAGACACAGAGTATCACCCTAAGGGCACGAGAGGGTGGAGAGAGGGGTCCAGCTTGCTCCAGGCTACAGCTGTCTGCTGGGCCATGAGGACACAGGGACACAGAGGAATTGAGTGCAGTGGCCAGAGCCCAGCCCTCCCAGGATGGTCATCAGAAAGGAGGGGTCCCAGGGCCGGCCCGGTGGCGCATGTGCTAGTGCGCTGCTTGGGAAGCGCGGCGGCGCTCCCGCCGAGGGTTCGGATCCCACATACAGACCGGTTCCCGCTCACTGGCTGAGCGAGGCGCGGGGGCAACACCGAGGGTTGCGATCCTGTTGCCGGTCCCGGTCCGGTACGGGGGCGACACTGAGGGTTGCGATCCGTTGCCGGACACGGAAAAAGACAAAAAAAAAAGAAAGGAGGGGTCCCATAGGACAAAGACTCATCTGTCCCTGGAGCCCCTCAGCCCCTGGGATCCAGTGTCTCACCTGTCCCTGGATCAGCCTCCTGCCTTCCTCAAAGGTCATGTTAGACTCAGGAGATGACAAGAGGGGAGTGAAGGAGGGTACAGAAAACTCTGTGGCTGCCAGGTAAAATAAGAGATTGTCAGAAGCTTCTGGGGTGGGTGTGGGGGCTGCTGCACCCCATAGTCTGGAGGGAGCAGCCCCAAGAACACAGCTGAGGACAAGGGTCCTGCAGTTAGGCTGGTAGGGACAGGGGAGATGACAGAGCCTTGAGGAGCCCCCGGAGCTTGTCTGGGTGGGGTCACTCCTCACAGGGAGAGCTGAGTGGGCTGAGGAGGTGAAGAGCCTAGCGCCCGAGGGGACAGGAGTCTCCAGTCCCCACTGTGCTCCGGGCACCATGTGCTGGGACTCTCCCTACACCCAGGGCCACTGAACCCCCAGTTCACAGAGGAGTCTCAGGACATTGGAAGAATGAAGCGAGGTGGGGTCCTGGGGGTTCAGAAGGTCTTTGGAGCAGATTCCAAATTCAGACTCCAGAGACCAGGGAGGAGGGAGCACAGTCCCCTGGGTACACAAGGGGAAACTGAGGCCGCAGAGCTGAACCAGGTCCCTGGGAGAGGTGACTTGGGAAGGGCTTTTAGGAAGGTGCAGGGCTGTCTGCTCTCCAGCGGGCTCTAGTGGAAAGGAGGTGAAAGAGGAGGGAACGAGGGTCCCCTGGGAGGAGCAGACAGCCACACTGTGAACGGCCACAGACTTTAGACAAGCAGGGTGGGGGCCACCAACACCCAGCCTCTCCCTCTGCTATCTCACGCCCCCTCCTCTGTCCACACAGGTCAGCCCAAGGCCGCCCCCTCCGTCACTCTCTTCCCGCCCTCCTCTGAGGAGCTCAAAGACAACAAGGCCACACTGGTGTGTCTGATGAGTGATTTCTACCCGGGTGCCGTGACGGTGGCCTGGAAGGCAGACGGCACCACCGTCACCCAGGGCGTGGAGACCACCAAGCCCTCCAAACAGAGCAACAACAAGTACGGGGCCAGCAGCTACCTGACCCTGTCGCCCCAGCAGTGGAATTCCCACAAAAGCTACAGCTGCCAGGTCACGCACGAAGGGAGCACCGTCGAGAAGACAGTGGCCCCTGCAGAGTGTTCTTAGGTCCCCAAACCTCACCCACCCACGGGGGCCTGGAGCTGCCAAATCCCAGGGGAGGGTCTCCCCTTACTCCCCCACCCCAGTCACCCCAGCCCTTCTCCCTCAACTCATAAATCTCAATAAACATCCTCACTGTCAATCAGAAATCCTGCTCTATCTCATTTTCTTCTGCTCTTATATTTAATATGCAACCTTCTCCTGTTTTCAGTGTGTGGAGGGGGAATCCTAGCACCCAGGCGGAAAGTAACCCAAGGGGAGAGGGTCACAGTCTCCCTGGCATCACCCCAGAAGGGGCCTTGCTCACCTAGACACCCTTGTCCTAACTCTCCACTCTATCCTTGAGCCCCCTGCCTGGCATAGCCAGGCAGGTGTCACACACTTATCAATTCTAATCTCCTCGATAAAGACCTGATCACGTATCATCCAACATTTCTAATGTGTCTCTGCGGCCGATCACATCTCTGGGCTGAAGGATTGCTGCTCAAAGCAAGGGCAGTTCTGGGTAAGCTTCTAATGTGTCTCCGCGGCCGATCACATCTCTGGGCTGAAGGATTGCTGCTCAAAGCAAGGGCAGTTCTGGGTAAGATCCCATGACCATCACCTCACCACTCAAACCCACCAGGATCCAGGGTGAGCTCTCCGTGCCACTGGTAGCCATGATCCAGAGCAGGAAGTTTTCCCTGCAGAGCCACCCCTAGGATGCAATCCCTTGGGAGAGGGGCCTGGTGAGAGGGACAAGGAGTGGCCCTAGGAGGGAATCAGGAAGAAGTAAGGAGAATCCCAGGAGCCCAGTTGTGGGCTGATGAAAGAGACAAGGGGCAGGGTGGGATGGGGGGGTAAGACCCTGGTCTGAATAGAAACAAAAGTTGAAATTTTCTATTCCATATGTGACTAAGTCGTGAGAGCATTTATTAGGTGAGGGGTGCATGGTTTGCCATCACCAAGGAGCCACAGAAAAGTTGGAAAATGAAATATACAGGTGCACTTCTCAGACTTTCACATGCAAATTAGCTAAGTAAAGGCACTGAGAAGTCTTGCAGTAAGGAAACTGTTTAATGTGCTACAACCCAGCATTTCCCATAACATGTTCACCCTCTTCTACACCTTTGAGAGTCCCACAATACTCTGAAAGACACCAATGATTCATGGAGCTATTTTGGGGAACATGGTGTAAGCCACATGGGGGTGGTCAGTGTATGACCAGATGCGTGTGGGATCAGGATCAGAATCAAGGTTGACAACAGCACGGGGTTGGGATTTCAATCATGAAGAATCTGGACCACTCAAATCAGACTCCAGGATAGAGTTAGTTTATGGTTAGTTTATTGCTGGAGCCTGGTGATAACCAGCCTTTACGATGGTAGAACTCAAGCAAACTGGGTCAAAGGAGAAATACCACTGTCCTAGGCACAGAATGAGAATCCATTGATTGTCCCATGAAAGCTGCATCAGAGTCAAATTCAGGACTAGAGTTGGGGCCGGGTCACATAAGGTCAGGGCAGGGTGAAGGTGGCCTGAAGGCTACAGGCATGGTCAGATTTTCCAGGAGGACTCAGCTCCTCAGACCCCCCATCCCGCCAAGCCCCACTTCCTCCCTTGTTCACGTGGCTCAGTCCCCCCACACTCCTGCCACTACCATGTGCACCTGCAGCCACATGTAAGAGACACACTCACTCCCTGGGTCCCTGACAGCAGGAGATGTCAGCCTCCTGGATGTGCAGGCCCTGGTGGTCTCTGCCTGTCCTCGGTGCTCAGGATGCTGTTGGCACCAGCCCCCACCCCCTGCCAACTTGATGCATCCAGTTCATCAGGTACATGGCACCTTCCTTCACCAGAGCTGATGGCTGGCCAGGCCAGGCCAGGCCTGGGATGGGACCTGCAAGGACATGGAGCTCTGAAGTCACAATGGAGCAGTGAAAGGGGTTGCTTGGAGTATGATCATAGCCAGCCCTGCCCAAATCCAAATTAATCTGGATTATAAGGAATCTTAGAGGTACTAGGTCCTGCAGCACCTGTCTGACCCCATTTGATGGAGGTGAAAACTGAGGCCACCCAGGCCCATATCAATGACCATGCCAGGTAGAATGCCAGGGTCCACCCCGTTCCCAGCTGCTGCCCCACAACTAACCTCCTCTTTACTTTATTATACGTTTTTATTATGGAGAATGTGGAAGACAAAATAAGAAGACAGAGGAATAATAACAACCCCCATGTTCCCATCACCCAGTTCCCCAAATGATCAATTCACGGGCAACCATGAT